ATGAGCCATCCAGTTGTCCATGACTTACGGAATGTCATCCTTCAGTCTCAGGCAGTTGTGTGTTATGAGCCATCCAGTTGTCCATGACTTACGGAATGTCATCCTTCAGTCTCAAGAGACTATGGTAATGAGGACACTCTCCAAGTCCTCTGTATGTGTCCTCTCCAGAGCAGGAAGCCTGGGTAAAATAATATGGAGGATAGGCTCTTACCCAAGCAGCAAATCCCCCCTCTCCACGTCGCTGAAATAGTCCAATGGAAAGGCAAGAGCCAATACAACTGGTTCCAGAGATGTTGGAGGAGTTGATAGAATGACACGAACTGCCTCCGGGACTCCGGCTCCGGATTTTGCCTCGAGGTTAACTCCTGAAGCCTTTTCCATAACTGGATAAAGTCACAAGGCAGCGGAGGTTTGAAATCGGAGTTTTCCTTCTCCTAGATGGGTTGCCCTCCAAGGCTGATGAGCCCCACCTACCCGGCAGAAAGGGAGAGGAAAGACGTTATGCCTTATGACAACCCCAGGAATGAGCCATCTCCAAAAGGTCCTGTCCTCAACAGCCCTACTCGGCTCTTATAGGCTGAAGCCCGTGGGTTCCTTTAGGGAGTCAGTCCATCTTGTATCCGGTCTTCCTCTTTTCCTGCTCCCTTCCACCTTTCCTAACATTACTGTCTTTTCCAGAGAATCCTGCCTTCTCAGGAGGTGCCCAAAGTAGGACAAGCCTCAGTTTCAACATTGTTGCCTCCAGAGAGATAGTTCAGGCTTGATTTGATCTAGGACCCACTTGTTTGTCTTTCTGGCGGGAGGCGGTGGAAGATAGAAGGGCCTGGCGTGCTCTGGTCCATGGGGTCACGAAGAGTCAGGCACAACTAAATGACTAAACGACGGGGGATCTGGAAAGCTCTCCTCCAGCACAACAGTTCAAATGAATCAATTTTTTTCCTGTTAGCTTTTTTTATAACCTGTCCAGCTTTCACATCCAACCATGATGACTGAAATTACAAGAGTGTGGATGATCTTGGTACTCATCTCCAGCGAAACATCCTTTCATTCCAGAAAGAGCAGATAGAAACGAAAACCATACCAAAGGTGGTACACTAGAGTAGAGGGCTTGGCCATCAGGGTCCAAGCAGGGGAATGCCTGGGAAAGAACTCAGAACTGGCCATGAGTTCACTTCCATTTTTGAGAAATAGCTGTCCAGGGATGTTAAAGGGTGCAAGGCAGCTGTGGCCAGAACCCGCAGGTCATCTTTTTAGCCAGAAAGAAAAGAGGCCAAAGAAGGGATTAGAGCAGAAGTACAGTTGTTGTACTGCAGATGGCGACAGCAGCCACGAAATTAAAAAACACCTGCTTCTTGGGAGGAAAGCGATGACAAACCTCAACAGCATCTTAAAAAGCAGAGACATCACCTTGCCGACAAAGGTCCCCATAGTCAAAGCTATGATTTTTTCCGTAGTGATGTATGGAAGTGCGAGCTGGACCATAAAGAAGGCTGACTGCCGAAGAATTGATGCTTTTGAATTGGGGTGCTGGAGGAGACTCTTGAGAGGCCCCTGGACTGCAAGGAAAACAAACCTATCCATTTTGAAGGAAATCAACCCTGAGTGCTCCCTGGAAGTACAGATCCTGAAGCTGCGGCTCTAATACTCATGGCCATCTCATGAGAAGAGAAGACTCCTTGGAAAAGACCCTGATGTTGGGAAAGAGTGAAGGCAAGAGGAGAAGGAGACGACGGAGGATGAGATGGCTGGACAGGGTCACCGAAGCTACCAACATGAATCTAACCCAACTCCGGGAGGGAGTGGAAGACAGGAAGGCCTGGCGTGCTCTGGTCCATAAAGGGGTCACGAAGAGTTGGACACGACTGAATGACCAACAGCATAGCTGTTGTGGGTTGCATAAATTCCTGGACTCTATTCAGTACTGGTTAGGCATCATCTCAAGTAGGGTGACCAGTTCCGGATACCACACTTGAAGAAGGATGCTGACCAAATGGGACATGTTCTGAAAAGGGCGACAAGGATGAGCGGGGGACTGGAAGCCCGAAGAGGAAAGACTAAAAGAACTGGGCATGTTTAGCTTTTAGAAAAGAAGACTGAGGGTAAAAGGATGGCACTCTTCATTTACTTGAATGGTAGTCCTTCAGAGGAGGGGCAGGATCATCCCCGAACGCAGGACATGCAACCATGGGCTCAAGTTCCAGGAAGCCAGATTTCGGTGGACTATCAGGAAAAACTTATCATCTGTTAGAGCCATACGACAACAGAACCCATGACCTCGAGAGGTGGTAAGCGCTCCAACGCTGGAGGCCTTCAAGAAAAAATGGGACAGTCATCTTTCTGATCTGCTTTGATTTGGATTCCTGCATGGAGCAGGGGGTCGGACCCGATGGATAGTCTCTTTCCAGCTCCATTGTTCGATGTTGGCTTCCCATCGCTTCCAGTGTCAGAGGCAGTGTGCTGTTGGCAACCGGTTGGCCGCTGGGTGAACCGAGAACTGGAACGCCGGGCCTTCTGTCTGTGCCAATGTTTGTCTTATGTTATTTCGGTGGAGTCAGAAATTATCTCAGGAGAAGCTTTTCCCAACACAGCCAAACCAGAGGAGCGAGCTCACGCTCCCTCATCGTTTCCGTTCTCCGTGCATTCAGGGAACATAAAAAGATTCCTGTTCCGTCTGCAGAATCTGTTCTTCGTAACTGCCTCAACTGCCACTACTGGCTCTGGGTGGGACGCTGCACAGAGTTTGGGGGGTGTGTGTCCAGATGTGGCGTCAGGTGTCTGCTGGCGAGCCGTCTTTCGGGCTGAGCTTTTTGGAGCACACCGATTCCGAGAATGCCTGAGGAGGCATGCCAACAGCAGCCGTTGACACCTCCCAAACGTTTCCAACAATCCGCACAGTGTTCTTATTGTTCTCTCTAGTGAGACTGCCCGGCGGCAGGTGGCTGTGACTCACCTCCCGTATTTCCAGGTGACTTTTCCTTGTTTGAGGTTGAGGACGATGAGGACTGAGACTCCACCTTGTGGTTTGTAAGGATGGGATTGTCAGATTTTTCTGGACTACAAATAGCATCATTCTTCATTCTTGGACATCTGCAAGCGAGATCTGAAGGCCTTAGGAATAGACCTCAACAGATGGGAAACCTTGACATCTGAGCGTTCAGCCTGGAGGCAGGCATTGCATCACGGCCTCTCCCAATTTGAAGAGCCCCTTGTCCAGCAGGCCGAGGCAAAGAGGCAGTCCCGGAAGCAGCCAAACCAGGGAGATGGACGGGCACAGATTGTATTTGTCTTCAGTGTGGAAGGGATTGTCACTCTCGAATTGGCCTCCTCAGCCACACTAGACGCTGTTCCAAGTCCTCCATACAGAGCACGTTACCATAGTCTTTCGAGACTGAAGGATGCCTAACTCATTCTTGGAATCCTACCTCCCTTACAGATACCTCCATGTGAGGCACCTGGGAAAAAAAGGCCTGGATTGGAAAGCTTTGCGACTTAGCTAGGCCTAGCTTTTTACCCTGATCAGAAAGAAAGTTCCCAGCTAGCACTGGAGCAGGAACAGGAAGTTTGAAGGGAGCTAGGCCTAGCTAGGCCTCAAAATCTTCTAATATAGTTCTTTCTCCCAGGTGCATCATCTTTAGGTGTTTAAAATTTAAAACGTGCTCATAAAGTCGGAAGAACTCCCAGAATGGAGAATTATGGTATTTGTAGTCCAGAAAATCTGAAATTCTTGTCCTTGATTGTTTGTTGCTGAGGTTAGCTAGGCCTACATCTTGGCGTTAGCCGGATAGGGGATGACTAGAGTTTCCATAGGAAATGTTCTCAGTTTTGCTAAAGGATCAGTGCAGTTAGTATTGGAATCTGGGGAAAACAACTAGTTATACGTAAAACTACTTACAAAATAATTATTTGCCTGTAATTCACTCCTTTTCCTAATGACAGCATTTATCTCTGTTCCATCACAACACTAACTTAACGAGGGCTAACTTTTCTCCCAGGATGCCCAGCGGGGGAATCGAACTTCCAACTTCTGGCTCCGCATTGAGGTCACTAACATACTAACGGTTGGAATTAGGCCCAGAGTTGGACATCTGCCTAGTTAAATGGGAGTCTTGGGAAGAAAGTGATGACAAACCTAGACAGCATCTTAAAAAGCAGGAATCTCGCCTTGCTGACAAAGATCTGCATAGTCAAAGCTATGTTTTTTCCAGTAGTGATGTACGGAAATGAAAGCTGGACCATAAAGAAGGCTGACCGCCAAAGAATTGATGCTTTTGAACTGTGGTGCTGGAGGAGGCTCTTGAGCGCCCCCTGGATTGCAAGGAGAACAAACCTATCCGTTCTGAAGGAAATCAACCCCGAGTGCTCACTGGAAGGACAGATCCTGAAGCTGAGGCTCCAGTACTTTGACCATCTCATGAGAAGAGAAGACTCCTTGGAAAAGACCCCGATGTTGAGAAAGAGTGAGGGCAAGAGGAGGAGGGAATGTCAGAGGATGAGATGGCTGGAATTTGACCCAACTCCGGGAGGCAGTGGAAGATAGGAGGGCCTGGCATGCTCTGGTCTGTGGGGTCACGAAGAGTTGGACACGACTAAACGACTAAACAACAACAAACTGTCATCTAGTGACTAGAGTGATGGACAAGGACTCAGAAAACCTGGATTCAAATTCTTGCTTGCCCATGGAAAGTCAGTGAGGTGAGATCAGTAAGAGTGAAACCATGGCTTAAATATCTCACGTATTTTGATGGTTCTATTATGGTGACCCTCCATTGGATGCAACTTGATGGCACATAATGTCATGTGGGTACTCTCACGCTCAGCTTGAGTCATGTGACCTTTCACTTTGAATTTTCCTGAGTTTGTGACCACAGATGTTGACTAAACGTGACCAGTGATGCTGTCATAATCCCCAGAGCAATCAACTCTCAAAATTCCAGATCTCCAGGTAACCAGCTTGCCCTGTGGTTGCCTGTGTTATTCACTGCTTTGGGAAGTGATGACCAAATTTGTTGCCCAGGAAACTAGATATCAATGGCCATGTGTTTTAAGCAACAGGGTCATTCAACGGCCCTGAGATTCTCATGTCAGATCTGTTGATGTTCTTCAAGGATATTTTTTTTGCCCTGAAACGTGCTGGAAGGGGAGGTGGTGGGTTAGTAAAGCCTATCTCAGCTTAACTGCAGAGTAACCAAGTGTCCAGAGAAATGGCACCATTTCTTGGTAAGAGGTTTCTGACTGACCACCTTTTGGGGAAGAAGCCGTAGTATTCTTTTACAGGTGTACAGAACCTAAATGGGTGAACCTAGCCTGTGATGTCTTGTGAAAGGAAACATGTCCATCTCTAGATCAATGGTTCCCAGCCTTGGGTCCCCAGATGTTCTTGGATGACAACTCCCAGAAATCATGACCAGCACCGCAAAAATGCATTAGGGCTTATTTTTAGGGGATGTTTTATTTTATTTTTTTCATGTACAACCATCTACATTTATTGAAATACAGCCATGTCGTCTTTTTCTGGTTGCTGTACAAGGGTGGAGGGTGGGGTTTTACTTAACTGGGGCTTATTTTAGGGTCAGAGCCTATATTACGAGCATCCTGAAAAATGATACTAGGGCTTATTTTCAGGTTAGGTATTATTTTGGGGGAAACAGGGTAGCTCCAGCCAGGGCTTGGTAAGAATTCTTTCCGAAACCTAGAAAGCTGTTAGAATAATAGAATAATGAGGTTGGAAGGGGCCTCATCGAGTCCAGCCTCCCTGCTCAAGGCAGGAATCCAAATCAAAGCCGATCTGGCAGATGGTTTTCTAAATTCCTCTTGAATGCCTCCAGTGTTGGAGCACTCACCACCTCCTGAGGTATTTGGGTCTGTTGTCGTACTGCTCTAACAGTTAGGAAGTTTTTCCTGATATTCAACAAAAATCTGGCTTCCTGGAACTTGAGCCCATGGTTGCATGCCCTGCACTTGGGGATGATGGAGAACAGATCCTGCCCCTCCTCTGTATGACAGTCATCAGAGCTGGCCACAACGGCCTAAATGGGTCAAAGGTCTTACTCAACGTAAAGCAGCTTCTCTGTATGACAGTCATCAGAGCTGGCCACTATGGCCTACCGTAAATGGATCAAAGGTCTTACTCAACGTAAAGCAGCTTCCTCAATTCTTAGGACCTGAACCCAATGTTTAATGGCAATTCTAGAAAGACTTTTAGGTAGCAGATTTGCATTCTGTATGTAAGATTCCACAATCAGCAGTGGAACCAATGACCTCGAGAGATGGCGAGTGCTCCAACACTGGAGGCATGCAAGAGAAACATAGACAAACACCTGGCAGATCTCCTTTGATTTGGATTCCTGCCTTGAGCAGGGGGGGTTGGACTTGATGGCCTTGTCGGCCCCTTCCAACGTCACTCTTCTATGATTCTATGAACTGGGTCTGTGTTCACAGGGTCTTCAACAGACAGCTGGTCTCTAGACCTTTCTTGCAGTTGGGATCCCATGAATCCGGGACAAAGTATAGTCTTCATTCTAGGAATGCCCGAGTGTACCTTCTAAGGGGCAAATGTTACTCAGGGCCATCCTCCTCCTTGGCCAGTTGCAATGATTTGCCCTGCTGCCTGGAGTGGATACGTCTCGAGAGAAAGTCAGATGGAAGGGACGTTCACGCTGAGCAAGGGAACTGTTGCTTCCCCCAAGCTGTTTGAATCCTCTGAGGTGGCGTCTGCAGCATCTTGTGGGCCTCCCCTATAACCTAAAAAAGTTTCCTTTCTCCATGGAGAAAGGGTTGCTCCTGAGCTTCATGTAGCTCCCCCAATGAGTATGTCCTTTCCCATACATTTTTGGCAAAACCAAACCAAACCCTTAAGTTTTGGCTCCTAGTTTTGCAACAGAATGACACTGAGAACTCCTCCCCCCCAAAAAAACGACGACAGCAACCTACACATTCCTCTCAAAACCCTCAAGACAGGACTAGCAATGAACCTCTAGACCTTTCCAGATTCGTTGGCCAGAAATCCACTGGCATTCGTGTGTGGTTCCCATAACTAATGGCGGCTAATGGATAAGGTGGCACCTCAGTCAAATGCTTGGTCACGTTCCTGATCACACAGTGGGAGATTATGGCCCGTCACCTCATCGGTTAGCTGTAGCCTATGATGCAAACCTTGGGTGGACACCAATAACTTCCTGGCTGTTTCGTTTGGGTTTACCTGGGAAGTTGGTTTCACCACATCTCTAGAGCTAGCATGGCCCACAGTGGGTCTCTCTCTCTCTCTCTCTCTCTCTCTCTCTCTGTGTGTGTGTGTGTAAATGTATCTTGCGGACCTCCAAAGCTGCTCATACCTTCCTTACTTTGTGGGGGAGACCCCAACTGCATGTCTCTGTTTTTATTTCCAGGTGGATTTTGTACACGATGCACAATCATTTCCAACTGAAGCATGAGGCGCTTTACTCACACCACCCTAACCTGGTAAGTGAGAGGGGTCAGGGTCCTTTTTCTGAACTGATTAATGCTCGAGGACAGCGTGCAGAAGGAACAGGCTGCAAGTAACCGTTGTTTGTTTAATAGATTTTTATGCCACCCCGTTAGTGCAAGGCAGTGAACAGTAGCTAAAATCGAACAGACATAACAATAGAGCGAACAATAGCAATGATAACATAGAGCAAACTAGGTGTGGGTTCTAGCCACGAAGGGTATTCCCCCCCGCCGTCAGTACTAAAATTAGTATCTCTTTGACTACCGGTTGTTCCAGAAAATAATCAAGAAAGTTCTTATGGACTTAAGGACTTCATTGTGGGCTACCCAGAGTCCCCTGGCTGACCTCCCTTCATTGGCAAGGCTGCTTTCTACTTGTTAAAGTGGCTTTAGGGGAGGGCCAGGATCTGTTCCCGATCATCTCAGAGTGCAGGACATGCAATAATGGGCTTGAGCAACAGAAAACCAGATTTAGGCTGAATGTCAGGAAAAACTTCTTAACTGTTAGAGCAGTACGACAAGGGAACCTGTGACTTTGGGAGGTGGTGAGCAGGCTTCAACGCTGGAGGCCTTCAAGAGAAATTGGACCGTTGTCTGTCAGACCTGCTTTGATTTGGATTCCTGTATTGAGCAGGGGGTTCGACTCAATGGCCTTCGAGGCCCCTTCCGACTCCATCATTCTGTGATTTCTTGGAGGTTTGCTTGGCCCATCACCCAGTCTACGGGTCCCCTTCTGACTCCATCATTCTGTGATTTCTCGGAGGTTTGCTTGGCCCATCACCCAGTCTAATCGGGTGTTCTGCTTATGTTCAGTTTCCTCCCAAGGGACAGTCTGGATCACCTTGGCAGCCTGATGTCACTATTGCTTTGGTTCACCAACTGCCTATAATCACAAAGCCACACCCTCTGTGACTGGGTCAGCAGATGGGACCCATCTTGGTGGCCCGTGACAGATTTGGGGCAGAAGGGACAAGGGATGCTGTCCTTGTCGTCAACATCACCACCGACAAGGACAGGAGGTTGAGTGTAGGCTAGCTTTTCTCTTGCAGCAAACACCTTGAAAATTCAGAAGGATGGTGCTGAGGGTAAACCTTGATGGGAACTGAAGGTATTGTAAGGAGCACAGGAAAACCACACAGCAGGCAACGTTGAGAGTTTAGGACGTTGGGTAAGAGCTCTTCCACCAAGCCCATCTTTCGGATTCACTCGATTCAAAAGGATCCAGCCAAAAAGGTTGTAGTATAACTCCAGTTGGAAAAAAAAGCCTCATCTAGAGCAATGGTTCTTAACCTTTGTTACCTAGTATAACTCCAGTTGAAAAAAAAAAGCCTCATCTAGAGGACAGTCTCCTGTTCTGGATTCAACACTTTTATGAAAGATGCCAACCAACTATAGCAATTTCAGAGGAGGGCCACAAGCAAAATCAGGGGACTGGAAACAAAGCCCTAAAGAGGAAAGACTGAAAGAACTGGGCATGTTTAGCTTAGAGAAAAGAAGACAGAGGGGTAATTAGGACACCACTTTTCAAATACTTGAAAGAGAGTCCTGCAGAGAAAGGACAGGATCTGTTCTCGATCATCCCAGGTACTTGAAAGAGAGCCCTGCAGAGAAAGGGCAGGATCTGTTCTTGATCATCCCAGAGTGCAGGACGCATAAGAATGGGCTCAAGTTCCAGGGAGCCAGATTTCGGCTGAATATCAGGAAAAAAAATTCTTAACTGTTAGAGCAGCATGACAACGGAACCCATGACCTCGAGAGGCGATGAGCGCTCCAACGCTGGAGAAATTCAAGAGAAAGTTGGACCACCACCTGGCTGATCTGCTTTGAATTATATTCTTGCCTTCAGAAATTGGACCACCACCTGGCCGATCTGCTTTGAATTATATTCTTGCCTTCAGCGGAGGGGGAGTTGGACTCGATGGTCTTAGAGGCCCCTTCCCACTCCATGATTCTATGAGTCCATTTTATGATTCTAAGCAGAGCGTATTTTGATCCCGACTCTTTGCGATTCATGGGCCCAGAGAGGCCAACCTGTGGACCTCCATGGATCCTTCTCCTTCCCCCTTTCCCAATCTTTGAGGTGACCAAAAATAGAGAAACACGAGGGGCAGAACAATCTTGAGGGCCCTCTTTTTGGAACCGAAGCCTGATGTTTTCCTGTTTCTCCTTTCTGTTCATTTCAGGCCCAGTACTTTGTCCCCGTCACCGATGTTGAATTTCGACAACGGCTGGAGCGCCATCGGGGGGAAATCGCCATCATGTTGAGATCTGTGGAGTTCAATCAAGACAAAACGACCTTGATTGTGACTAACAACCCACTGCCGCTGCTAATTACCGGTCAACATCTTTCGTCCCCTTTCCAGTATTTCCCAAAGGACTTGTTTGGAAGGGTAGGTGGTTTAATTCTTGCTAAGAAGTTATTTCTCTACCATGTCCTCCACAACCCTAAACTGCGTAGAGGGCCAGGCCTTGGGGAGTTTCAGCTCAGCCCCTGAACTCAGCCCACAACATAGGTTCAGCTCCTTAGAGGACTCATTTAATGTTTGGATCAAAATCCGGAGCAAATTTGCTGCTCCTGGAAAATTAGAGTCACTTACTTCCATTGAGCGAAGGGGTAAATTCTGAGGTGTTATACCCGATGATGTTCTTTCTCCCTGCTAGTTTAACATTTATATTACCCGGGTCTTGGAAATGTTACTTTCTGGCTGAGGATTCTAGGATTTGTAGTATGAAAATTAACATTTCCAAGGTATGGCGTTACCTTAAGGCAGTTGTATTGTTTTGACCCCTGAGAAATGTTAGATAGTCCTATTTTCTGGAATATAAATACCCTGTTCCCCCTAAAATAAGACCTAACCTGAAAATAAACCCTAGTATAATTTTGCAGGATGGTCATAATATCAGCCCTACCCCAAAATAAGCCCTGGTTAAGCGAAACCCCGCTCTCCACCATTGTGCAGCCACCAGAAGAAGATGACAGGACTGTCTTTGAATAAATGTTGATTGTTGTACATGAAAAAAATAAAGCATCCCCTGAAAATTTGTTTATTTTTAATTTATTTTATTTTATTTATATCCCACCTATCTGGTCGGTTAAGACCACTCTAGGCGGCTAACAGCATAAAATAGTATAAAAAAATTTAAATATTAGAAACCTTAGGAGAGGGAGGAAACAATAGGAGAGGGAGAGGAGACGGCCTAATGCATTTTTTGGAGCAAAATTTAATATAAGACCCTGTCTTATTTTCGGGGAAACACGGTATAAGTAATCTTCAATTACATCTTCAAGAAAGCAACGTCTGAGTCACGATTTACAAATTAAATTTACATATACCCATTGTTTCCGACACCTAACATATCATGCTTTTGGATGTTCACATCTTACACAATATTTTTCCTCACAAACTGTTCAAGTTTCTACTTATATGCTCCTGTGGCCTTGAGCACAGGCCTTGTTGCCCAGAGAAGACTTTGACTTAATAACTGACCTGTTTTAGCATTCCACACTATTTCTTTGGCTAGAGTCCGAGTGTCGCAATGAGGTTTTATAAGCTATCTAGAATTCATTATGGTGTTGCTTGAGTCGCTGCATGTACACATCATTTTTTGCTTTAAAAGGCAAGAGAGGGATATTTCCATTTAA